TGGGTGGGTGAGTGGGTGAGTGAGTGGGTGAGTGAGTGGGTGAGTGAGTGGGTGAGTGGGTGAGTGAGTGGGTGAGTGAGTGTGGGAGTGTGTGAGTGTGGGAGTGTGAGTGTGGGAGTGTGTGAGTGTGGGAGTGTATGAGTGTGGGAGTGTGGGAGTGTGTGTGTGTGTGAGTGTGGGAGTGTATGAGTGTGGGAGTGAGTGAATGGGTGGGAGTGAGTGGGTGGGAGTGATTGGGAAAGTGAGTGGGGGGAAAGTGAGTGGGTGAGAGTGAGTGGGTGAGAGTGAGTGGGTGAGAGTGAGTGGAGTGAGAGTGAGTGGAGTGAGAGTGAGTGGGCGAGAGAGTGAGTGGGCGAGAGAGTGAGTGGGCGAGAGAGTGAGTGGGCGAGAGAGGAGTGGGCGAGAGAGTGAGTGGGCGAGAGAGTGAGTGGGCGAGAGAGTGAGTGGGCGAGAGAGTGAGTGGGCGAGAGAGTGAGTGGGCGAGAGAGTGAGTGGGCGAGAGAGTGAGTGGGCGAGAGAGTGAGTGGGCGAGAGAGTGAGGGCGAGAGAGTGAGTGGGCGAGAGAGTGAGTGGGCGAGAGAGTGAGTGGGCGAGAGAGTGAGTGGGCGAGAGAGTGAGTGGGCGAGAGAGTGAGTGGGCGAGAGAGTGAGTGGGCGAGAGAGTGAGTGGGTGCAGCACACAGGCACCCCGCTCTCTCCCGTCCCCCAGCGCTGGTTGCGGAGATCAACGTCCCCGCGGCCCTGCTACACCACATGTATCCAACTTGTACTAGTTAGTGCTGCCGGCTCTGTCCTCTTCCCACACTCCCATCCTCCTCCTAACAAATATTGTCGTAACCAAAGTTGGAATTTGTATGAGGTACTTCGACCGGTTCCTTCAGGAAGTGCCGGACCTCCCTGACTGTGGGTCGCTGCCCCTACAACCTGTCTTCAGGCTATGTTCGTCCACGCTGCGGCCGACCCCAAAGAGACATTCATCAGTTATAACGTAATGTGTAGTCAAATTGTACATTATCTTAATTATAAATTAATTAATTTATATATTTTAATTTTATGTAATGTTAGGTGTGGGTTAGCTTAAGTGATTAGATTCTTCTTGCAGATATTTGCGGTACATATGGGAGGCAATTAGAGAGGTGCAGACCAAACAAGAGGACGTGAGTGAAGCATTGTTCGAGAAAAATTATAAAGTGATCAATTGTGAATCGTATGTAAAGTGTTTTAATTATAAAAACAGGGTGGTTGACGGCTTGATTAACGACCATTTGGCTTTATTGATGATAAACTGGCCTTCGATCGGGCTGTGGGAATAGAACCACAAGTGAACCACATAGTAAAATTACTTTGTATACAAGAAGTATACTTGTATACAAGTAATATAATACACTTTGTATTACGTTTGTATACACGAAGCGGGTCAGGTAAACCACAGGAGAAGGGTGGTGGACACTTGGGCGGTAAGGTCTCCAACAACTTACTGCTATACTTTAACCTCCGTCTCCAGCCCGCCCATCCAACACTAGAAAAAACTATCTGCAAGGTGAAAAAACTTTATAATCGCCTAATAAGAGCACCTGGACCAGCCCTGAACAGGTTTACAGTTTTTTATTTATATTGTTAAAACTTACTGCTTTATTACTAACGTGAAGCCTCGCGTACATTTCTTATTCACATCAACTCGGAATATCGTAATAGGCAGAACGCCAACGATCACTGGTCCATGTAATCCAAATAATGCATTAGAGTCCCAACTGACAGAGTAAAACCAACTGCTTACAATCTCCGCTCCCAGCAGCAAAACTCCTACGGCCACCACTCTGGTTCCTGCCTCGCCTCTCCACAATTCCTACAATCAAAATCCACTCCCTTTCTTCCTTCCTGGAATTCCTTCCCCCCGGGCGTCTTAACGATCCGAGCGTTACGTTGCTCCGTCGTATGAATTGGCTTCATTAGTATCGTTACTCGAATGCACCAGCCTCATTTACGTATTCTATGTAGGAGCGGGTCCTCGCCTCCTACGTCAAGTCCGGATAATTGAGGAAGATGACGCTGTTTAAATCCAGGTCATGAATTATCCTGAGAGGGAAGCTTCGCCATGTGTTACGTTAAATACGAAGGTGTGAATGGGACGACACACGATGTGCAGCATCGACAACACCGAAGAGCAGTACTACTATTATTATTGTTGCCACTACTTAACCACACTGGATGAAAGAACAAACCAAGATAAAAAGAGTGCAGACATGTTCTATGCTTTAAAGAATCGACGAGATAAAATGTAATTTAGGTTAAGAAGAAGCGTTCCTAGAGAGCATGTATGGCCTCGAGACAGTGCAGTGAAGGGGTGGCGCTGCTTCTTTCAGGGAATCGCAGAAAACCATCAAATACAGAGGTCTGGCACACTGCTACATCTTTGTTCCGATCGGTTCGGAGACCCTCGGTTCGTGGGGAAAATGTGCATTGAAGTTCCTGAAGGAACTGTTGATCAGTGTTACAAATGACCACAGAGCGAAAAGTTTCTTGTTCCAGCGCCTCAGTGTCGCAATTCAGAGGGGAAATGCCTGTTGCATCTTGGGCACGAGTCCAACCTCGGGGGAGTTCGAGGTGTTTGACTTGCAACAATGATCGAATCTATCATTTATTAATGTATCCAGTTGGTGTGTTTTTAATTTTATTTGTAATGGTCGTGTTGTGTATATGTTAATGCCACATTTTGTAATCCTGTAATCATGTACAATTATATATATATATTATACACATACATACACACACACACACACACACACACTTCATACACTCTGAGAATAGGAGCCTTAAACTACCGACAACTAGAATGGTAGCCAGTAGCTCTTACCACAGAGTTACTAAACACCCCACAATAAGAGAGTATCTCAAAGATGTGCCAATGTTACCTAATTAAGACTATAGGCCTCCCCTGGGGTGATGCTTGAGCACGGAGGCTGCTCACCACAATAAACCTGGACACCATTCTGACAGCCGGTGGTTCCACGCTCCTATTACCCGAGGGGAGGGAGGGAATTATCAGGGGAAAGCGCCAAGTCATTGTGACTGTATAACTAGGGTCAGGATAAGGATTTTGGGATGGGACGGGGGAAAGGAATGGTGCCCAAACACTTGGACGGTTGGAGATTGAACGCCGACCTGCGTGAAGCGAGATTGTCGCTCTACCGTCCAGGCCAAGTGGTTGTCTATTGTCCAAGTGGATGAAATGTTATTAAGAATTTTTATTATGATTTACCACTGGGAAGTAGAGACGCAATAAGTACTCTTAACGGATAATTCTATAAGCAATAAGACACCAAGACCTTTGACTTTTCAAAACCCTCTCTCTAAACGTAAGGGAAAATTACTAACTGACTTCTTGAGAAAAATACACCAAATAGTATCTGATCGGAGTCGGAGTACATGCGGCGGCGCCCAACAGTCTGGTCGACACGGCCGACAACCAATAAGAGAGAGGTGCATTGGCCGACAACCAATAGGAGAGCGGTGCATTTGCCGACAACCAATAAGAGCCTCTCCTCTCCAGTATCGAGTAGGTGCTCCTGTTTGTTAAATCCTTATGGAACCATTAGTTGAGTGCTTCATATACGTCTATATAGCCTTCCATGAGGTTAATGTGAAAAGATGCATTACTTTTCAGTCTTATCTTTACACAAGTGCTCAGGCATGGCGAACGTACCGCGGGGAAGAAAAGATACCAATAACTCGGTTACCACCACGTAAAACCTACCTGCAAGGCTTCATCTCAGATAATGTAAATTACATTAATCCTTGGAGTAATTATACGCGCTTAATACAACACAGACGACGAACTCAGTCGTTTAAACACACAATATAACTATCTCCACTAACACATACAGCCGACGTTCTCACAACGTCCTAACCCTTCCTCTGCTTTAATGCACCTGTCGTGTTCCAAGAGTCCTCAACATCCTTTCCCGCCGGGGTGTGTTGACAGAAGGTGCGTCCTACACCCGTCTCCTCCGTTCATTACCGCCGTCCGCCGGGTCCTGGCAGCCCCCAGTCTCCAGCCACGGCTCCACAAACGGCTGCATCATTCACGTCGCTCGCGTATAATCCTCCACCAGACCCCTGGCTGCTCCTAATGCTCGCCTCCCATTGTCGCAAGGACGCTCTTAAGCCTCCTGCCAACTCAAGACCCCCAAGTCTCTCACAAGGGTAGACAAACGGAGAGGACAAACTCGCCTATCAAAGCGCCACATCTCTCCCGTTGCCAGATAACACAATTTTCCCGAGATTATTTTTCCGATACTATAAAGTTATATGACTCGCGATATACGACAAAAAAATATATGTACACACTTTCCATAACCCAGAGCCCTCAACACACTACTCTCGGCTCCACACCACCATTCAAAAGCAAAACCAACTTGCGCGGGAAACCATTAGAGATAGAGAGGGTGGGGGGAGGGGGAGGCTTCCGTGGCCCACCGTCTTACTCAGCCCGCCCCTTCCACGCCCCTGGGGGTGGGGGGAGGGGTGTGTGTTGCGATGCTCCTAATGAAGCCCTCAACGTCCACTCTTCGCCTCACGCGGACTCCAACCACTCACCTGTAAGAGGAAGAAGTAAATCGAATTAATTACTGTAAGAAACGAGTGTATGTTGAAGCAGCATTATACTCTGGAGGGTGGGGAGCGGCAGGCGTCCACTCCCGCACACTCTCACGCTCACTAACACACACACAGCTCCCGTTGAGAGGCGGGACCAAAGAGACAAAGCTCAACCCCCGCAAGCACAACTAGGCGAGTACCACTAGGTGAGTACACAGTTAACGAACACACAAACTTTTGTGCTGATTTGTTTTTAAATAAAAATGGCACGCGATTTCTATCTTTTCATCTATATCAATATTTGCATGTTAAAAATAGGCCAGGAGAAAATATAGCAAAATTACAAGAAAATGAACTTTACATCACGCATGACGGGGTCGCGAACCATGACAAAGGCCATACAAGATGGTAACACATATACAGGTACACGAGAACAAGTACACGAGGACAAGTACACGAGAACAAGTACACGAGAACAAGTACACGAGGACAAGTACACGAGAACAAGTACACGAGAACAAGTACACGAGAACAAGTACACGAGAACAAGTACACGAGAACAAGTACACGAGAACAAGCACACGAGAACAAGTACACGAGAACAAGTACACGAGAACAAGTACACGAGAACAAGTACACGAGAACAAGCACACGAGAACAAGTACACGAGAACAAGTACACGAGAACAAGTACACGAGAACAAGTACACGAGAACAAGTACACGAGAACAAGTACACGAGAACAAGTACACGAGAACAAGTACACGAGAACAAGTACACGAGAACAAGTACACGAGAACAAGCACACGAGAACAAGTACACGAGAACAAGTACACGAGAACAAGTACACGAGAACAAGTACACGAGAACAAGTACACGAGAACAAGCACACGAGAACAAGTACACGAGAACAAGTACACGAGAACAAGCACACGAGAACAAGTACACGAGAACAAGTACACGAGAACAAGTACACGAGAACAAGTACACAGGAACACTGGGTGGACGATCTACCCACGATGTATTTCCGTCACCTGGTAAGTGTCAGGCTAGTACGAGCACTAACCTGAACCACCCAAAGACCACGTAAAAAAAAGTCCACTACGGGCTCGCCATAGCCTGTGCTACTTGGATACCTTTGTTCCTAGTAGCTGAATCTAAAACAACAACCGCGTAAAATAAATTGTACTTTATATTAAACTATAATTAAATAATCTAATTCCATAATGGACAGATTTTTGCTCAGTAATATTAACAAAAATAATCAAGCTCTACATCTAAACTTGCCTCATCAGCATGTTCACCACACACGCAGGAAGGTAAACTATTATTTGGATATTGTCGTTCGGATGCAAGCAAATTTCCTTGCTACAAGTACCTCTGGAGCTTGCAACATCTGCTGATGTAGATTTGACTAAATGTAAACTCTGTCAGCAGAACTATTCGCATACTTTGGGTCATAATGAAATGTGAAAAATAACACAATTCAGAGATAACACCATCAATGGAATCCAAGAAATGTGTAAGTACTTCATTCATAATGATGTATTGCCAGCAATCTTAGCGAAGTATCCAAAATTTGCTTACTGTAGGTTCAGCCTGCACATGACTGTAAAGCTGCCGCCCAGTTGGGTGGGTGTGGAGCACATGACTGTAAAGCTGCCGCCCAGTTGGGTGGGTGTGGAGCAAGACTAGTAACTGTGCATCTATGTAATATTAACAATTGTGTAACTAGCTTCAGATGATTGTCACTTAGCTAAACGAACTATGGGGGTTCAGTTCCTGCACCCATTATGTACCTCTGTAACCCTTTCCACCACCGCCCACCGGATGGGTATGGGGCGCATAATAAACAAATGAAAACAACAAAATTCTGTTCATGTGGTATACGGCATTATATTGACCTTTTTCGAGTGTGTTACATAACTCACCAGCTTAGTGACCCACGGCTGACCTTTACCCTGCCTAAACTGCTAAATAGCCATCCTCGTACAAATGAAAGCCTCGAAAGATTATCAAAATTAAATTAAAACTCGAAAAACTATATTCATAAATTGATGAAATTTATTATCAAGTTACTTAAAAAAAAGTTATATTATTTATATAAACAAGAACAAGTCATAATAACAGCATAACGCGTACTTGTAATTGTATAGAGTATAAATTATATTTAGACCTACAATGTTTTTCAATAAGTGTTTAATAAACAAAATTATTACCAGGATTATCTGGTGATAAGTTGATCTGGCGTCTATTTCGGTTTCATATATAACGTTCCAACCAATCTGAAAATTCCAAGATAACACATGCTCCAAATAGGTTAAAATAGGTTAGTAACATAGGTATTAAATTAACAGGAAGGACACTACAGAACATCATAAACGACAATGTTCAAAATGTCATCTTTCTGGGTTTCGACAATTACATAACAGGAATCCCTATTCACTTTAACTAAGACATAAGAATCTTATATCTAAGGCATCAAGGTTTTACCACTTACAGCTTACCCTTAGGGGCCTCGCGGCTGAGTAGACAGTGCTCAGGGCCAGGTTAGATACCCGGCTGAGGCATAAACAAATGGGGAGATTTTCTTTCATATGATGCTTCAATTCACATAGCAGTAAATAGGTACCTGAGAGTTAAGAGAGCTGCTACGGGCTGCTTCGTGTGTGTGTATGTGTGTGTGTGTGTGTGTGTGTGTGTGTGTGTGTGTGTGTGTGTGTGTGTGTGTGTGCGTGCGTGCGTGCGTGTGTGTGTGTGTGTGTGTGTGTGTGTGTAATTACCTAAGTGTAGTTACAGGATGAGAGCTACGCTCGTGGTGTCCCGTCTTCCCAGCACTCTTTGTCATATAACGCTTTGAAACTACTGACGGTCTTGGCCTCCACCACCTTCTCACCTAACTTGTTCCAACCGTCTACCACTCTGCGAAAGTGAATTTTCTTATATTTCTTCGGCATCTGTGTTTAGCTAGTTAAATCTATGACCTCTTGTTCTTAAAGTTCCAGGTCTCAGGAAATCTTCCCTATAGATTTTATCAATTCCTGTTATTATTTTGTATGTAGTGATCATATCACCTCTTTTTCTTCTGTCTTCTAGTTTTGGCATATCTAATGCCTCTAACCTCTCCTCATAGCTCTTGCACTTCAGTTCTGGGAGCCACTTAGTAGCATGTCTTTGCACCTTTTCCAGTTTGTTGATGTGCTTCTTAACACTTTCGCGCTTTCGATTAGAGATAACTCGTCACTGGTTTTTCTTACGATTCCGCATAACTGCCTACTTTTCTCGTCAATCGAAAAAATATTTCTATAAATTCCATTTTTTAACCGAAATGGATGGGGATACTTTTGTTTTGTAGAGAATTTATTTGCGAATTTTTTTGGTACCAGAATGAATATTATATCACATAAACTTCTATGAGTAAAAAAAAAAATACACAAAGTATGTTTGGGGGTGTGGCGAGCGTGTGGCAGTGGGTTCCTTTTAGCCGTTGATATATCCAACACGTGGGAAATATTTGTATGTTTTATGTATATGTCTGTGTAGGGAATTTTACTGCGATCACTGTCATACAAATTATAAAATGTTTCAACAAGTATAAACATGACAAACATCAAACGAACGAAAACAATGCGTTCGTTTCTGCCGCGAACGCATACTGAGCGACGTGGTTCTATATTTGGCGCTTCTCATACACATGCTTTGTACAAATGTTATACAGTTCATCTTATAGAAAATTTTATTGCGAACACATTGGTATAAAAACGAAATACGTACATAGAAAAGTAGGGTCAGGAAACGTATAAATGTATAAACTTTCCAAGCATGATTGTGTTTTCGCCAGTGCGCTCGCGGCTAACTACTCTCCACTTCACACACTCTTGCGGGTGTGCAATTACCTATATTAAACATTCATATGCATATGTCCGTGTAGAGAATTTTATTGCAATTCCAATGATACCAAAATTAGCGATGTAGGACAACTGTAGGCTTCGCAACCATTAAGAGAGTGGAAACATTTTGTTGCTGTTTGGCGCTCTCGGCGAGTGATCTGCATAGTTTTTTATTTGGTGTTGATACTCCTTATGCTTGGGCGGCATTTTATAGGTATGCTCTTATAGACAATTTCATTGCAAACACAGTGATACCAAATTTAAATACGTGCGCCTTCAATTATTGTCAAGACAGTCAAAAGAGTGTACACTTTTTCGGTCTTACCGCATAGGCGCGCGAAGTGCCGAAAGCATCTGGGGTATTTTTTTTTTTTGAGCGCCGAGAGCGCGAAAGTGTTAAGATATGGGCACCACACAACCGCTGCATATTCTAGCTTTGGCCTAACAAAAGTCGTGAACAATTTCTTTAGTATATCGCCATCCATGTATTTAAAAGCAATTCTTAAGTTAGAAAGCGTGACATAGGCTCCTCGCACAATATTCTTTATGTGGTCCTCAGGTGATAGTTTTCTATCTAGAACCACCCCTAGATCTCTTTCTTTATCAGAATTCTTTAAAGATTTCTCACATAATATATAGGTTGTGTGGGGTCTATGTTCTCCTATTCCACATTCCATAACATGGCATTTATTAACATTAAATTCCATTTGCCAAGTGGTGCTCCATATACGTATTTTGTCCTGGTCATCTTGAAGGGCATGACAATCATCTAAGTTTCTTATCCTTCCTATTATCTTAGCATCGTCAGCAAAAATGTTCATATAATTCTGTATACCAACTGGTAGATCATTTATGTAGACAATAAACATCACTGGTGCAAGAACTAAACCCTGTGGTACTCCACTTGTGACATTTCTCGAGTCCGATATATTGCCACTGATCACTGCCCTCATTTTTCTATCAGTCAGAAAATTTTTCATCCATGTTAGAAGCTTACCTGTCACCCCTCCAATATTTTCCAGTTTCCAGAACAACCTCTTGTGTGTGTGTGTGTGAGAGAGAGAGAGAGATCGAAATAAATATATGTAGTAGACATAAAAGAAAAAAAATTAAATCGGTTAGAAAGGCGGGGGTCCAAGAGCTAAAAGCCATAATTCTGCAGGCACAGTTAATATATCCGTGGGAGAGTAGCATGTCCTATTTAATTCAAATACCTTTTACTAAAAGGATACATAGGTAGTGGGGACCCTCTTAAATGAAAGCCATAGACAGAGAAATCACAACACCTTCGCAGGCCCGATGATTCAGTGTCTTTCTTTATTATGCACCCCATACCCATCCCGTGGACGGTGGTGGGAAGGGTTACAGAGGGCCATAATGGGTTCAGGAACAGACGGGGCACCCAAATTGCTCGCTCGTAGTCGCTCATTCTGCCTTCCACCGGAAGGTAGAATGAGCATTCCCAGTGAACACACACCCCAATGTTAAACTCATTCACCCACAATGTTTATATTTAATAATAAGCCATTGCAAACATTTTTGCATGACGCCGTTTGCGTTATCAGGAAGTCTAGTTGGGTATTTCGGCTTTATGACGCAACATGCGGCACCAGGCAGGTAAATATCAAATGATATATCAAAGAACAAATCCACATCACCACTTAGAGCACAGGTTGGCACCCACATTAAGTCTCCTGTGGCTTTGTTCCTTGAAAGCAATACAAACAAGGCTGCACGAATACTTCATCTTTCTCTCTTACACTGAGTTTTTTGTTCTAAAAACAGCAACTAAACACAAACATATAATAAAATCAATTAACCAACAAGGAAGTAAAATGACATAAGAACAAAGGTAACTGCAGAAGGCCTATTGGCCCATACCAGGCAGCTCCTATCTATAACCACCCAATCCAAATGCAGGCGATGAGTCACAATAACGTGGCTGAAGTATGTTGACCAGACCACACACTAGAAATTGAAGAGACGACGACGTTTCGGTCCGTCCTGGACCATTCTCACAATCGACTTGAGAATGGTCCAAGACGGACCGAAACGTCGTCGTCTCTTCAATTTCTAGTGTGTGGTCTGGTCAACATCCAATCCAACTCTTATACATGTCCAACCTCAACACAATACATTAGAGCCAA